TTGTTTTGGATGTTATATAAATGGAATTGTTTTTCAACAGTTTTAGAATATTCATTGCTAGTACATAGAAACACAGCTGATTTTTGCATGCAGGCTTTGTATCCTGCAACTTTGATAAATGTGTGTGACAGTTCTATCAGAGTACATTTGTGTGAATGGGATTTTGAAGGTTTTCTACATACAAGATCATGTTGTCTGTGGCAGAAATAATTTTACCTTTTCCTTTCTAATTTGGTTGTTTTATTTTTCTTGCCTAATTGCTTTGATGAAGACTTCCAGTGTTATGTTGAATATAAATAGTGAAAACATCCTTCTCTTATTCCTGATCTTAGAGGAAAGATTTCAGTCTTTCATCATTATGTGTATTAGCTCTGTCCCCCTTTGTGACTGATGCCACAAACTGCATCTTTGTATAGCAACATCTTATTAGCACAGATTCATAATTACTCTTATGTAATTGTTTTTATATCCTATAGAATCTAAAAAATGGAGTTACAAACCACAACTACAAAAACACTATTTTTATATTTATCTTTACTGTAAACTATTTTCCTATGTCTTTCAGTTACTATCTAGCACTCTCCTACTTAAAGGATTTCCTTTAGCATTATAGGGCAGGTATAGTGGTAATGAACTCTCTCAGACTTTGTCTGGAAATAGCTTAATTTCTTCCTCTTCTTGAAGGACATCTGACTGGCAGTTTTGGCAGATATACAGTTCTCAGCAGGTTTCCCACTTTTTCAGCAGCACTTTAAATAGATCATCCTTCTGCCTTTTCTGGCCTGCAAGATTTCTGCTAAAAACTCCACGGATAGTCTTATTGGGGATCCTTGATTTCCCTTCTCATGCTGCTTTTGTGCTTTTCTTGGGCCTTTGCTAATTCTTATTATACTGTATCTTAGTGGGTCTTTTTGAGTTTATCATATTCAGAATTCGCTAAGCTTTTTGGGTTTGCATATTATGTCTTTCCTCAAAATTGGTTGTTTTCAAACGTTATTTCTTGTCTTCCTTCAGGGATTCCTATGCATATATTGGCCAGTTAGATAGTGTCCCTTATACTTTGTCTGCTTTTTCTCTCTTCCTTTTGTATCTCAAATTTAGTGATTCCAAATGACTTACCACCTCTCTAGTGAAATTTTCAAGTCAGCTGTATTTTTTTTTACAATTTCTGTATCTGTCAATATTCTCATTTGGTTCATTTGACCTCTTAGTTTCCTCTATGTTCCTTAGTTTTTCTTTGTATTTTCTGTTAGCTCTTTGAGCATATCTAAGATAGTTGTTTGAAAGTATTTATCTAGTAAATCTAATGCTTCTGTTTATTTGGGGACTGTTTCTGGAGATTTTTTGCTTATCTTTCCCTATTTCTTTGCATGCCTACGACCTTTTGTTAAAAAAAAATGGGCATCTGAAAAAAATAGTCAGTCTCCCAATCGCTGTAGGGCCCATGAACCTTGAGATTCTTTTTTTTTTTTTTTTTTTTTTTTCATTTTTCTTTTATTATTCATATGTGCATACAAGGCTTGGTTCATTTCTCCCCCCTGCCCCCACCCCCTCCCTTACCACCCACTCCGCCCCAACCTTGAGATTCTTTAACACAGGTTTTCTCAGGGCATGTAACCCCTCCCACCCATTGACAGCTGCTTTTAAATATCTTAATTTTCCAGAGTCTCACTCAAGCTTCTTCTCAGGATCTTAGATGTCCTATTACATTCCTGTCTATAATATCTCACCCACTTGCACACCCATGTTTATTGCAGCACTATTTACAATAGCCAAGTTATGGAAACAGCCAAGATGTCCGACTACTGACAAATGGATTAAGAAAATGTGGTATTTATACACAATGGAATTTTACTCAGCCACAAAAAAGAATGAAATTTTGTCATTCTCAAGTAAATGGATGGAACTGGAGAACATTATCTTGAGCGAGGTTAGCCAGGCTCAGAAGACTAATAAGCGAATGTTTTCCCTTACATGTGGACTTTAGATCAAATGCAAATACAGCAAGGGGATTGGACTTTGTGGTCACATGATAAGGCGAGAGCACACAAGGGAGGTATGAAGATAGGTAAGAAACCCAAAAAACATGATAGTATTTGATGTCCTCAATGCAAAGGAACTAATGCAGAAACTTTAAAGCGACAGAGGCCAAGAGGAGAAAGGGACCAGGAACTAGAGAAAAGGTCAGCTCGAGAAGAATCAACTTAGAATGTAACACATATGTACAGGAAAGCAATGCTAGGAATCTCCCTGTATAGCTATCCTTATCTCAACTAGCAAAACCCCTTTGTCCTTCTTATTATTGTTTATACTTTCTCTTCAACAAAGTTAGAGATAAGGGCAAAACAGTTTCTACCTGGAAGCGAGGGGGTGGGGGGGGGAGAGGGAGGGAGTGGAGGGAAAGGGAGAGGGCGGGGGGTGGGTAGGGGGGGTGAAATGGCCCAAACGTTGTATGCACATATGAATAAATGAAAAAAAAGTATCTTGCCCAGAGTCCACAGGTCTGCAATCCCCTTGTAGTTTTTATGCATCGCATTTCTCACTACTGCCTTCCATGGCTTCCAGACTAAAATCAAAACTATGCTACTGTCTCCTGTCTGAACTCTGAGTCAGATGAGACAGAAGCCAGTCACTTGCGCAGTCCACAGAGAGGCCAAACCACTGAAGAAAAGTTCTACCTGCTTCTTCTGTGCTGTAGGAGGGAAATGGAGACCAGGCCAATTCCTTCTCAATGTACCACATAAGGGGGTGGATGGAGCAAGGAAGAATAAAAATGCCACAAATCTCCTATTTTCAATGTGATTATTTTTTTCTTGGTTGAGGATTTTGTTTGTAGATGTTTCCATAGTTCTTGTAAATTTTCCTCTGTGTAGTTATTTGGTATTTGCATGAGAATGAAGTCCTGGAACTTCCTATTTTTCCATCTTGCCAATGTTACTATTAATTCGTTTTCCCCCAATATTTCCTCTTTTGTGTTCTTCACATTAATTCCTATTGCTGTTTTCTAGGTTCATCAACACCTTCCATTGTCATCTACAGTTTGTCTGCTAGTGAATCTCTAATTTGTGTGTGTTTTGCTTCATATCAAACTCAGGTCTTCATCGATACTAGGCAAGCACTCTACTGAGCTACTGCCAAGCCCCAACTGGGTCTCTTTTTATTTTTGTATGACTCAGATTAAAATTCACCTGTGTTTTTTTTTTTTTTTTGACTTTGTGAAACATAAGACTGCTTTAAACTCTGACAATTTCAATATCTGGGTCATCTCAGGATTAACATGTCTTTTTTACCGGAGAATGCTGATTTTCATGGCTTCTTATTTGTAAAGTAATTTTGGATTGTATCTTGAATATTGTGAATATTATGTTGCATGGACCCCAGAGCCTTATTACAATCATCTGGAAATGTTGCTTTAGCAAGTAATCAACCTGGTGTGATTCAGACAACAAGCTGTCTTGTTTTCCTGTGGGTGGTAGTTAAAATCCTACTTTGGTTCTCCAAGCCTTTGCATGTTTGTCCAATTCATGAGCCTGAGACTTGTATGGGTTCATACACAGAACTAAAGGAAGTTCTTTTTCTGCTCTGGGATTTTCTTCTATTCTCACTCTTTGGAGTTCTTTTCCTGGCCAGAAAGATACTTTTGCTTTCCTTGATACTTTTTTTTTCAGTGCTGGGGATGGAACTCAGGACCTTGTGGCATGCAGTGGTAGACGCAAGCACTCTACCACTGAGCTATACCCTTAGCCCTTTTCTTGACTTCCATTTAGCTTGGCACACCATGGCCACACACCATCACTCCACAATGGGGTTCAGCCTTGTCTCATGCTCTGCAGAGATGCCAGCAATCATGTATTTCCTACAATCAAGGGAAGATCATCCCTATGCAGCTGCCTCTCTATTTTGATGCCTTTTCACAATATGCCCGCATTTAATTTCAGCATTTTCAAGTAGCTTTTTTCATATTTTGTCTAGTGATTTTAGTTGATAATGGGAGTTATTTTTCATATTTTGTCCAGAAATTTTAGTTGTTAGTGGGAGGGCTGTACACAGTGGGTGTATGGTGGGATAGTGGTACTGATTCTACTGAGCTTTTTAATCTCCATTTTTGGCATTTACTGAGAGTTTGACTCTGGAAAAGCTAGTTCTGTGGCTTAGGACCTCAACTTGTATAAGCAACAATATTACTTCATTTTTAATTTCTGGCAGCATTTTGGGAGGAGGGTAGAATATATGACAGTCGTGACTGAAGGTATGGCTCAAATGCTAGAGCTCCTGCTTTGCAAGCATGAAGCCCTGAGTTCCAACTCCAGTCCCACCAAAACAAGTAAACAAAAAACCAAAATAAAATACAACAATGGACAATAAACACTAATGGTTATTTGCATACATATATTTTCTACAAAACTGAACATTTTAGATTAGGGTTGCTGGAATAAAAAATTAAGAACTAAAAAGCTACAGGTTTTGATGAGATACCTAGAAGATGATTCTTGAAGAAAAAAAAGGAAGAGTATTTTTACAAAGCAAAATTCCCCACGTTAATTTTGTAGCCCTTGGAATTGCATCCTTAGATCTTGTCAAGTGGCACATATAGCATTAATCACAACAGGACATGAGGACAATTTAGGGAGCTTGCCGGTATGCCTTATAAAATACCGAGTTATACAAGAATGAGGACTGTAAAACAAATGAGGAGCATTGCTGTCCAACAGAATGACCCCTTTTCCCCTTCGTGCCTCTTGATTAGATTGTGAAAAAAAAAGAAGAAACTAAGATTCTTATTTGCTTTTTTTAGTAATTTGCTCTTTTCCTTTTCTCCCTTGCCAGATGGCTGAAGAAGAACATGCAACCTACTGAGGATCTCAAGTCAGTGGTCCAGAGGCTGTCAGCCTTTGGCCCGATTCGGTCAGTCACCCCTTGTGGACGACAAGGTGCTATCGTGGTGTTCAAAGATATAACTTCAGCTTGTAAAGCTGTGAATGCTTTTCAAAGCAGGACCACAGGCACAATGTTCCAGTGTTCCTGGCAACATCTATTCATGGCAAAAGATGTAAGACTTTATAATGTCAAAAACTTAATGTGAGTTCTTAAGGCTTGTTTTATGAAAGTTTTTATTCTTCATCAGGTCTGTAGGTGAAACATTATCATAATTAATGTGTTAGCAATGGAAAAGGCACAACATAGTTGGTTTAGCTTAAGGACTGGGAATCAGAACTCAGGGCACACCCCTCCTTTGGCACGCTTACTCTTGCTGTAGTGGTCATCACAGTTTTGATTTTCTGGATAAGAAATTTATGATTGCATTCATGCATTCCTCTGATAGCCATCTTCCCTGGAGGGCGGTGGATTCTTCAGCATTAACAGCATGTAGCTTTTCTTTCTCATTATGTCGGATTAACTCTTTGGAAATTCTCATGGCCTGATAAAACAAAATCAACAATAAGGTTAAGAACTATTCTAAGAGTAGAATTATTCTTTAATTCTGACTTTTGTCATCCCAATGTGCCACTCCTTTAATGTGCACACAAATCACCTCAGTGAGTGTGGGGCAAGTCTGATATTATACATTTCTAAAAAGTTCAAGCTTCTAGTTCCAAAACCATATACCAAATAGCAAGAACATAAGACAACCCATCACTATCTATCACATATAAAAAGAGCTATGAAGTAAGAATATCCTAAGGTACAGTCAACCTATTTGGATTCTCACACGAATTCCCAAATAAAAGTTCTCAGAAATTACTGCCTGTAATCCCCCTCAAGTTATCCCCAAAAAGAATTGCCCTGCCACCTGAATATCATAGAAATGAAATGTTTATATGGCAAGTTTTGTAAAAAATTAGTATTTCTAACATTATTATGGCTGTTTCTAATCCCAAATTTATATGTGCTTAAAGCCAACTAAAGATATGTCTTGTCTTTTTTATGATGTGTTCTTAATGAGTTGGTCCTGCTGAATCTTTCAAAGTTAAACCCTATATAACATCTCAGGTATGTGTCAGCATAATGAGATATATTTGTACATATATAAACTATCAAACACATTTCTCACTTACGAAATTATTACTATGATTTCTGTAAGAAAGAAATGAATACCAACATTTGGAGGGAGCTTTGCATATGCTTTCAGTCTGGCCCAAACTTCTTTCTGAAAAGTGCTATCAGGAAAAACTTCAGTAACAAGGCCTTGAGCACATGCCTCATGTGCTGTTAACTTCTTTCCAAAGATAAGCATCTCAATTGCCTAAAATGAAAAGCAAAGTTAAGACACAAACTTAACAAAACAAGGCTTTGGTTAACTGACTGCTTTCAGAGGACCCATTTGCTCATGGGCTCTTGAGGTTGCTTGTATTTCACAGTAAGGGAGAAGCTGTTGACTTCAATGGGTAACCATCTGCAAACTGTGCTGAGATCATCACAGGGTTCCATCTCTGGAAGGGCTGCTTCCAGGAGGACCTGTGTTGGAAGGCAAGACTGGGAGGTTAGGGCAAAAATGACCTAAACTGACAAGCAGCAATGGTTTCCTTTTCGCAGTCACAAAAGTCACAAAAATTCCATTCCCTGGTTATTTTTTCCAGTGGTTCATCTGTGATTGTTTTCTTGACCTGAATAGGTACTCAAATTAGTTCTATTTGACTGAAGGAAATTGAAGGTGTTTTATATTACATTTCCAAAAAAACTAAGTCACTAACTGGATATTCTTTCTACATTTGCAATTCCTCTTCCACAAAAGTAAACCCTATTTCATGTGCTCTGAGATGGTCCTGTGAATCTTTCAAAATTTATCCCTGTATAACATCTCAGGGTATGTTACAGCACAATGAGATACATTTGTACATATATAAACACTACCAAACCTAACAGTCAAAGAAGAGGCTCCCTTCCCACTCCCAGCTTTGAGATGGTGAAGAATGTCTGCCAAGCCTTTCCTTCTGCCCCACCTCTGCAGTTGTGCTGAGATGCCCTTGGAGTCAGGCTGAAGAGGGTGGGCAACTAGGTTTCCACAAATGCAGAGACAGACCTGAGTGGTCACTTTAGGAGGATCTTAGAACACTGGCAAAATGGGCTGACAGAAAGGCTACTGAGATCAGGAGTAGTGTGGGAAGTGACTACCCACCCCCCCTTGCTTCACATCATCATCTCATTCTCAGTAGATGCTCATCCATGAAGCAATTAAGTCGCTCTGAGCTTAGCAGACCTTCAAGTGACTAATGCCACACAGCTGTGGAGGATTAGGTACCATGCTGCTTGCAGTGTGCTAGTGCTAGTGAGCTGGCAGGAAGAGTGTCCCAACATGGGGTTCTGCAGAGTGAATTTCAACTTTTCCCTTATACCAGCTACTTCCCATAGCCTGGTTCAAAGTTGCAGAGCAAATGATTTCCGTATCTTTGTCATATTAGGAAGGGAAAAGAGAAGAGAGTATGGGACTACAATTTAAATTTTATTTTTAAGCATTCCCAAAGTTACCTTGGCTGGGCCCATAATCTTCGGAAAAGTGTAAGAGGAGCATCCTTCTGCAGTTTGGCCAAGTTGAGTAAATGGAGTATGAAATGTTGCCTATTTGAGATGAGGGAAGAAAAGATCACTTTTCATATGTAATTTTAAAAAAATCACTATTTGAGTATAACTTCAAAATTTGGGTTTTTTAAAAAGATAGGGTTTAAACTATGGCATTAAAAGTCTTTTTTAACTTTAATCATGTCAGCAGGTGTGTAGTGGTGTTACATGGTTTTAGTCTCTGTCTCTTTATGATTAATGGCATTGAGCATCTTTTGGTATATTTATTACTCATGTATACATTTTCTTTGATGAAGTAACTATTAAAATATATTTGCCACTATTTTTAAGTTAGACTGTCTGCTTTATTAATGAGTTGTAAGGGTTCTTTGTTATTCAAGTTACACATTTGTGTTTTTTTTTAATCAAGTATCATGCAAACACTTTGTTCTGTGACTTATTTATCCATTTTCTTAAAGATGTCTTTCTCACACAGTTTAAAGAGCCATCATACTTTATTTTCTGTAGATTATTTATTCCTCTCCATTTGCCTAATTTTTATATTAGGTTGGTGATTACTGCTTTATAGATATACTTTAAAAACAGTTTAGCGGGATTAGCCTTTGTTGTGTGAGTTGAAAGATTGTTTTCTCCATCTTTTGTTTGTCTTGATTTTGCCCTAGAAGTTTTTTGATTGGCTTTAAGATAGCAGAATCAATTTCAATCTTGGTTACTTAGAACACTCATTTGGTATTTTTTTTCTAGATTTAAGAAATATTTTTGTGTGTTTCTTTTATTTTTGGTGGGGCTGGGGTTTGAAATCAGGGCTTTGCACTTGCAAAGCAGGTGCTCTACTGCTTGAGCCACATCTCCAGTTCATTTTGTTCTGGTAATTTTGGAGATAGACTTTTGTAAACTATTTGCCTGGGCTGGCCTTGAACCATGATCCTATGATGTCAGCCTCCCAAGATGCTAGGATTACAGGCATGAGCCACTAGTGCACAGCTTTTTGTGTTTCTTAATGATAAATCCTTATGAAAGAATTAATTTGTAACACAAAGAATATTTAATTTCATTTCTATAGCATTACTTTAAATGAATATTTGTTAGAAGATATATAATGCATGCAACATATTAATAAAAGCACAAAATAAAATGTTCTCATGAATGTCATTTTTCTTCTATTTCCCCAAAAGAAAACTTTCTCAAGAAAGTATGCTGAGAAGCCAGAAGAATATAACCAGAAAACTGAAAAAAAAAAAAAAAAAAACCCAAACCCGCCAACCATAGATGAGGGGCCATACACAGGTACAAACCCACCTGAAAATGAGCTGTAATGAAAATGCTTACTTGCAGAAACAGCAGTGGTACAGGAAAAGGTCTGAGCTCTGGCATCAGGCTGCTTAGTGAGTTTGGGAGAGTTTCTTACCCTCCATGTGCTAGTTCCCTCATCTGCAGAACTGAACCTGAGTACTTATGTCATAGGGCTGTGGTGTGTATCATAGGAATGGGTGTGTATATGTGTGTGTATAATGGGTGAACAGAGTGCCTGGTACACAGAGAGCACTCAAACATTAATTATTTTTATATAATTTTTTAACTCACACATGTAAAAATCAGCTTAGGTCTTTTCTGTCAAAGAATTTAATCAGTAATAACTGCCTTATTAACTCGCTTCCCACACACTCACTTCATAGACTCAGCTTAATATGATACAAGTTTCTGTTAAGAGCAAAGGGTTGTTAGCTGAGCCTGGACAACAACTCTGCTAGATGCCCTGGTTCCAGAGCTGATAACCAAAAACAGTTACTGCTTCTATAAACTTTTAAACTTTGTTTCCAAAGCCCTCTCCTAACCTGGCCCCTTTCTAATTAGCTAACCATGTAGACTGTGAGCCCTAAACCTGCCCAATCCAAGGGCAGGAGAGGGACAGCATGGTGTCAGATAAAACTCCTGTGGACGTCCTGCCCGGTGTGCATACCTCCCACACTTCCCGGTGTGCATCCTTCTGCAGAAGTAAATTTTGCCTTGCCTACTGACTTCTGAGTAGTGTTGCCTCTCTTGTGACACCCCAATATCTTAAAGATATTTCTAACAGGGTGGGGGCTTGCCTGAGATGTTCACATTGCCCAGAGGGCTGTGGATACCCCCTCTTCAGGGGAGACCCATCCCACTGCTTTGTTGCTGTGGCCTCAGGGCTGGGGGAATCCACTATCTTTGTGGCTGACAGTGAATACAAGATCAAGTCAATTGGCAATGCTGAGAAAAGGGGCCTGCCCAAATAAGCACCACGGTGGACCAGATTAACTCCATGCATGGGACTAAGGTAGGAAAGTCCAGTACTGCCTTGGTGGTTGGGACATTCCAGAGAGAGAATGGATGTGACTGGGACTTGTCCCAGACACAAAACAAGTACCAATTCCTGATTCCTAACCCTGGTTGCCCACAAGGGAGCCAGCGGAAGGAGGAGGAAGCACTTTGGGTAAAATATAAGAAATCCCCATAACAGGGGATTGAATATTCTCCCAGGGATATGAGTACGATAAAAAATCCCCATTATGGTGTTGGGGGTGGGGTTTAAATATTCTCCCAGAATAACACAGCCAGGAATTTGGGATGTGAAATAATAAGTCAACTTTAGGAAAGGCCCCCAAGAAACTAGACTCATCTTCTTCTATTCCTCCAGATAGCTCTTTCAGTCTCATGTTACTATATTGGGAAGAAAATCCTAGGACAGAAGATTTTAAAAAATTATTAAATATTGTTCTTTCATTTGGACACAGGAGCCAATCTTAAGACCGTCTGTTTTTTGGCCAAAATTTGGCTCCAATGTCATAGAATATATAACTGATAGAACCCAGTAAGCCAGGAATAGATTATGCCCTCTGCTGGCACAGGGGACCTGTGACTTTGTTCCCATTTAAAATGCCTAAGACTGAAAAAGAAAGCAAATTGGGAGCCCCTTGATTGCCTTCCTTCCTGTTATGGACCCATGGGCCCTGCCCCTAAAGACCTTCTCCATCCAGGAGGCAGGGAGCCCACAGGCAAATTCACCCAGGGAGGGAAAAGAGGTAGAAAATGAGGGCCCTTGTGGAGCAGCAGCAGCCTCAGCCCCTCTCTTACCAGGCACTTCCTTCTCCAGACTGAGAAGGGAATTGGAGCAATGCAAACAGGATAGCCAAAACCTTCCCTTTTCCCCCAGTGAAAATTGATCCCAGACTCTATATCCTCTCAGAGGTTCCCTTAGGGGGTGGGAAAATTGGGTTTGTTAACGCCCCTCTCACTAGCTTGGAGATGAGAAATTTAAAGAGAACTGAGTCATCTGCTAGAAGATCTGCATGGGGTGATGGATCAACTTGACCAATTCCCTGGCCCATAGGTTTATACATGGGCTGAACTATGTCCATTCTAGCATCTTGTTCTCCAGGAGGAAAGAGGAATGACAGGGAGGGCTGCCAGGATGGCTTGGGAACACACAGTCTGGGAGGCAGGCACCTTCTACAGAAGTAAATTTTGCCTTGCCTATTGACTTCTGAGTAGTGTTGTTTCTCTCATGACACCCCAATATCTTAAAAATATTTCAACACACAGAAAAGATGCCATTTACCTTCAGAGAAGATAATAGGCTTATAGTAAAGAATAGGTAGAAGTACTCACTTGTATTTTGGCTATACGGGTTAAATATGAACCCACCATCTAATACAGTATTTGCTCCTGAAGCCAGTAGTGATAAATCTTAGAAATCTCTTCAGTGGTAAAAAACCAAATGTTTCTCACAGGCTACAGGGTAGAACATTTTATCACCACTTAAGCAAAAGTGACTTGAGGAATCTGACAACCTTAGAGGTGGTTATTAGTTCTATGGTAAATGTTTTAGGGTCAAAATTCAAAGATAAATACTTATAATATCTTTGCTTATAATGACAAAAAATGGAAAGTCTAAGGTTTCAGCAGTCAAGGACTGATTACACTGGATAATTTATATAAATCAAACATGAGCACTGGTTATCTCTGAGTGGTGAAATAGGAGTGATTTTTTTAAAAAGAAAAAGAGGACCAAATAATTCACTTGCATAATGTGCAAAGATGTTACTCCCTGACTTCATAAGATGCTTTCAAGTTTCTCCTGAGTGCTTTGACATAATATGAAAACAGAAAATTGAATTACTATTTGTATAATTTAATTGGAATACAGAACCATTAGATCTGGGACAGTGTTCACATTTTTTTTTTTTGATATTGGTATTCAGGAAAATTCAAGTTAATGATGAAGAAAAAATACAATCCTTCAAACTGGACTAATTCTTTGAGAAAAATCTAAATACACTACATCCTTCCATAGGCCACATCCACTTAGTACTAGCAACAATAAAGGAGAATCCAAAGTATTTCATTTCCACTCTACCAGCCTGAGCTGCCACATTTCTGGGACCTGACTTACCCTGTCTGATGCATACACAGCATCAAATAGCCCAAGAAGGGTGACTGCGATTCCCACTGCTGGACCGTTTACCACTGCAATCAGAGGCTTCGGAAAATCTATAAAACAGTCTACAAAATCCCTACATGAATGGAAATAGAAAAGCATTCAGTATCCCCAAGTATAGGCATGACAAAATGAGTTTGAGATGATGATACAGGCCAGCTGTTCTCGGTCTGGCCACAACCCTGGTCCTCCATCCCAGATCCGCCCAGAAACACCCTCACACATGACACTTGACATGCATGGCACCTGATGAAGCTCAGGCAGTGAATCCTACAAGCTAAGTCTTGTTTATAACCTATATTCTGGGCAATGAGTTCAGGGCTGTATGCCAGCTATCGTCTTAGAGATTGGGGTAGGTGCCCGAGCACATGCTGCAAGAGAGCAGCCCAGTGGGACTCAGAGACTTGGGATTAATCAGACAGGAAGAGTGAAGATTTTATACTGCCCTCTGTGGATCTGAAAATGATACAAGTCTCCTACAACCAGCACTCATGGAAGGCCTACATTCACCTGACCAGATAAGAATCTGCTAAAGTCCTCTGCCTCAATATGGGAGAACTTAGGACTCTAGTTCACCTTCTGCTTTCTAGTCAGTCTCACACAAAATTGGCATGATGTTGACAAAAGTCAAGGGGATAGAGTGAATGCCTGTGTGCTAAGGGAGACTTTGGAGAAATACACTGTCCAAAATCACGATGACTTCATTGACACAGAGAAGCAGGTATTTTACTTTGATGCATAAAAATTAGCCCACTGGGATCAGATTCTTACCTCAATAAAATGGAACCAGTTTTAGCTACCTCCTCTATTCCACCAGGAGGAAGATTAGTGAAGTTAGTCAGATCATTCCCACTACTGTAATAGTCACCATTTCCTGTGAACAGTAAAATCAGCAGATCCACCATCACTCATGTATTCATTCACTCTAGAAATATGGAGTATCAACTATGTGCCAGGTTCTGTTCTAGGCACTGAAAATACACAGGTGAGCCAATTATGGGTCTTGCTCTCACTTACAGAGTAGAGCTTTAGTGGGAAATGGATTTTAAAACACACAAATATAGATAATGCAGCTCTGACACAAAACAAGGTATGTGATGTAATGGCAGGGGGTGGGTCTACTCAGGGAGTTTAGGGAAGGGACAATCTAACAGACAGCTGAAGGAGCGGTAAGACTAGCCAAAACAGAAGGGGTGGGAATACTTCACAGAGGGAATAGTGTGTGTAAAGGTTCTGTATAGTGGGTATCTCTAGTACACGTGATGGAGAGACAGTAGTTGTAGAAAGAGGACGAACAGGATAGGCCAGGTGGGGCTTTCTACATCCCGTAAGAACCTTTGCCTTCATTTTCAAAGCCTTTGAAGGCGTGTGTGTGTATGTGTATAAAACAAAAAGTAAATTTATATACAACAAAAGTGTTCAGTTTAATCAGTTTTGATGGCTGTAAATACCCGGGTGATCACCATCCAAAAAAAAATGCAGTGGTTTCCTCTTATCCTTGGGGAATTTGTTCCAAGATGTTTCATAGATGCCTGAAATCTGGGAACAGTCCTGAGCTCTACAGTGTATACTTATTTTCCCCTATGTAGTTGTCTTTCCTTATCCTCAGGTTTTGCATCCATGGATTCAACTAACCAAAAATATTTGGAGAAAAAATTGCATCTGTACAGAACAAGCACAGATTTTTTTCTTTTGTTATTATTTTCTAAACAATACAACACAGCCAATACTGACATAGCATTTATATTGTATAAGTCACCTAGAGATGATTTAACATATCTCAGAAGTGTACACAGGCTTTATGCAAACACCACACCATTTATATAATGGACTTGAGCATCTGCAGAATTTGGTACTTGTGAGGGCCTTGGACCCAATTCCTCGAGAGTATCGAGAGAAGACTATACACACATACCTGTGACAAAGTTTAATTTATCAGATGAGATCGGGCGCTTTCAGGGTGGTATGGCTGTAGACTTATCAATTAGGTAAGATGTTAACAAAACTAATAACATTTACAAATAACAATACACTGTAATAATAATTGTTTATTTAATGAAATTTTCCATTAATATTTTCGGACCAAGGTTGACCCCAGGTAATTGAAACCTGGGGAAGCAAAACCACAGGAAGGTTAAACTAGGATAAGGAAGGATATGGCATGGAACCACCTGAGCCACCCCAGGACATTCCCAGAGCTCTTTTCTAGCCATATCATCCCACCTGCCCCCAAGTGGTCACTTTCCAACTTCGATCCACAGTTTAGGACTTGTGCCTAATATTATATAAATTGAATCATATAATATATGCTCACTTATGTTTTATTGCTTTTAGTTTTGTTTGTTTTTTTTTTTTTTGGAGATACTTGGGATTGAATTCAGGGCCTCACCACTTGAGCCATATCTCCAGTTCTTGCCAAACTATGTTTTAAAGATCCATCCATGTTCTTGAGTGTATCAGTTATTTGCTCATTTTCATGGCTAAATACTAGTTCATTGTATGAATAGTCTACAATTTGTCCATCTCCCTGTTTTTTGGTCATCTGAGCTGTCTGTTCAGGCTACTGTAAATTGACTAACATGACTGTTCTGTTGTAAGCCATGTAGGGATAGATGCTTTACCTTGGTGATTACCAAAGAATGATTATCCTGTGCCTATTATATTGCTGTTTATTTATAAATTAGAGCATTATAGTACTGGAAAACATCTTCAAGCCTTTCTACTCAATTCCTTATCTAGTAAGAGCCTCCCCAAAACAGACATTTAATTAAGAAGTCCAAGAAATACCTTACCTGTTAAAACAGTTATGACTGAGTTATCATCCTTGCTTGTGGCTTCAAGTGCAGACAAAATTTCTTGATACATCTATGTGAAAAGATGGAGAAGGAAAAGAAGAGACCACTGAAAGCAAGTGCCATCACCCAGGGGACTCACTGTATCTGTATGCAAGCCTGTTCTCAGCATAGTGCTGTATTTACATAACCAAAAAGGTGGCCCAAAATGACTGAAAGGATTTTCATTCCTTTTATATTATTTGGTGCCTATTATGTACCAGGTACTATGGTAGATGCATAGGGGCTAAAAGCAAACAAAGAGACACAGTCCTTAAAGCTTTTGGAATTAACAGATTATTGTGTTCAAATGCGGCCAGAGGAGGAAAAGAATGAAGCAGCACGAGCTGGTCAGAGGTTTTGAGGTTTGTCTGTAGTGGGTGAGATAGTAAGTGGTCACAGAAAACTTTCCCCAAAGCAGCATCCCAGCTGTGACCTCAGGAAAGAGCAAGCATCCCGGGAACTCTGGAAACTGTTAACCAATGCCAAAAGGCTGAGATTTTTGTGATGCTGGAATGGAATTCAAGGGTAATGGGTTCCAAATTTTAAATCAGCAATATTTCTGAATATCTTGGATGTGTTAGTATAGTTTTTAGTGCATTTAAATAGGTACATTTTCTACCTTAGAAACTTCAATGTGGGAAAGAATGATGAAGAGGGTAGGTATTTATGGATATAAAGACACTAAAAAAGATAAGGACTTTATATAATGTATGAATAAAGATGCAATCTTTTTCTCAAAGGGAAGGAAGAGGAAGTAGTTCTGTTATTATTATAGCAAGAATAACAAGCTTAGTAAGGTGACTGGTAAGAGTCAGGATTAGGAGAGGGATATACATATATTCCTAGTTATTGGCTATATGAAGTTGAGCCAGTTACTTCTTAGCCTTAGTAACTATTTAATTGTTAAATATTGCTAACATACTCCTTGTACAGACAGTGCTGATACTTACTAAGCACCCTGCAATAGGTACCTATCATTACCATGGTCACTGAGAAATGAGTCAGAGTAAACAGAAACAAAGTTCTTGGAATCCATGCTTTATCAACTGCATGCCACATATCGAACTTTACGCAAGTCTTAAGAATATTTCAAGTTACAGTCCTCTCCACCTTGGCTCTCAGTTCAGTTCCAAACATTCGATGAACTCCCTGTAATTCATTTCAATGGGAAGGGGCTGAAGTAGATACTTCATTATCACTCTAGTTCAAAGGCAGACTCAAAACTGCCCATGAAGCAGCTTGTTCAAATCAGAGCTGAGTTACACTCCATTAAAAATGAAGTCTTTCTCTTCTCCCTCTGCTTTTCTGCTTCATTGTACAGCAGAAAAGTTTAAGTGACATGAAGACTTCTTTTTAGGAACAGTTTATACTAACCTCATCTTTGATAGTCTCTTATGTCAACATATATTTCACTTATACTGATTTCTGCTTCCATTCATAGGAAAGACACAGTGCCTTTTGGATATGTAGAACCTACCTGAAACTCTGTTGACTGAAGTAATCATTACTACTAAGCAAAACCAGAGATATCACAAAAAATAGGAATACTGTTGAAATTCTACAGTTTTTTGAGTGAAACAGACAAAGAAAAGAAAATCAGGAAACACTCTCAGGGCAGATAACATTACCTGAATGGTGATGGCATTTTTTTGGGCGGGCCGATTTAACATGATCTTTGTGATGCCGTCTTCAGAGGTTATAACAACACTTTCAGATCCAGGCTCCTTATCGACTCGGCCTGAAGATTCTGATGAAGGACTCAAACTGGACACCAAATCCACATAGTTCTTCCTGGCAGTTTCCTGAAGTAGATGCCAAAGAACTTCAGCCACAGTCAAGGAAGAAGCATTTTGAGAAACATACGATATTAATAGCACTTTGCAGTAAAGAAAGAACAAAGGCATTCATTCAATAGAAACATACTAAAATTTCAAAGAAGCTGGGTAAGGTTGTGGATACCTATAATTCCCAGTACTTAGAAGGCAAGGCAGGAGGATCAAGAGTTCCAGACCAGCTTGGACTATGTAGAGAGACTTTGTCTTAAACCACCCTCCCCACCCCCACCAAAAGGCTCCATCGATAAAGGTTCAGTGAGAAAAACCAAGCTTCTTCAGAAGTTCAACAAATAAAAGCAGACTTAATAAGAAAACTCACCTTGGGCAGGCTGCCAATGGCATTCCATGCATCCCATTTGGCCTTATTGATGAAATCAAGCATTCCTGGTTTGGGCATATTGCAAGGTCCTTCTGTGGCCTGTGAAGAGGACAGGGATGATTAATCCCTGAAATGTCCACACAAACTGGGGCCCTAAATATTTAACATTCACAAAATCCAGAGTTAGCAAGAATACTTCCCTCAAATCCTTTCATAGTGGGGGGTATAAAATGACCTGATTTTCCTCTCACCCACTATTTGTTGGTGTTGCTGAAAATGCACAAAGAACAGAAAAAGGTCTGGAGAGAGAAAAGGTGCTATTGGCTATCAGCTCCTAAAATAAGTCATAACTGCCTGCATGTGGAAACAATGCAAGAGAAAGGCTTTGAGAAAGTACTTTCTAAAAAATTCTAATAGCTCATTAATTCTGTATTGATGACCACATTTTCAAACAATCAAAAATTCACCATTCTTTGAAAGGAACTAATCAACATTTGGAAATCCAAAACACATATTCTGTGTTTTTTTCCACCTAGTGCTAGGGGTTGAACTTAGGGCTTCATGCGTGATAGAAAAGTGCTCTATCTTGAGCTACAGACAACCCGCAGTATATTCTGAAAGCCCATCTACAAGTCCAAAAAATCACTACTAATTCAGTGGTGAATTTATAGTCAGTCAATGGGCGACAGAACTGCAACTAGTGGAGGTAAGGTGTGGGCTATTAAAACCATAGGCCCTCAGGAGACTGAACTGAAGGCCAGGCAAACAAAATGGAAAGAAAAGTAACTTTTATTTGTTTGAGGTTAGGTGGAGTGGGCGTCTTAATAGGAATAAAATATCCCACCCAGCTACTTTTTCTAAATGGCAATTTAAAACTCCCTTTTAAAGTGTTCTAGTTTTGTAATTCAGTTGGTTAAAAGAGGAAAGAACAGGCTTTGAAAAATATAGGCAGTAAAGGAGGCTCTGACTTCCTATAAACAAAGTCACAAAGCTAGAGTTGGTCATCTGAAAAGTTAGAGGGAGCACAGTCCACAAAACAAGGGATTGCCCTTATCTTCTGACTGCTCTTGCTTCTGACACCAATTGCAAGGTTTCGAGGCTCCCAATAATTTCTCAGAAAGATTCATAAAAGCCACTGAAGCTATTAATACTCATGGTTATGATTCCTTACAGAAAAGGGTACAGATTTAAAGTAAGCTGAGAAGAAGCACACAGGATAGACTTTGGTGCGGTTGCAAATGACATGCTTCTGTTTCTTTTCCCCAATCCCCAGGAACGCAGGACAGGGAACTCTAAAAGAACTCATGCAATGTATAACAATATGTGTGGGGTCCTGCCAACCAAAGAAACCCAATGCAGTTTCAGTGTCCCAAGTTTTTGCTGGGGCTCTGTGACACAAGCACAATTTGCCTAACCCAAAGCCCCCATCCTGAATGGTTTCTACCTGGGAGGCTATTTCCCCATCCTAAATCAAACTATTAGACAATCCAGGAAAACAAAGGTTCTTCTCTTGGGCATGCAAATTCAAGAGCCTGGATATTATCTCCCAGGAGCTGAGGGAAAGCCTTTGGGGCAAAGTTAAGTTCTTACTCCAAACACCCATGTGAAAGTGAGAGAGACTGGTGTAACTCACCTGATAAAAAATTAGATAATAATTCAGGAGTCTAGATTGGCAGATATGCCAGTCTGTTAAATTGCATAACAACTTAAAAGCTTTACTTTTTCAATTTGTTACAAAAATTTTCAAACATACATCAAGTGATGAGTTCCCAATACTGAATCACTGAAACAATTATTGAATTTTGCCTTCCGTCCTTCTCTTCTCCTTTTATGCTCATTTCAGTGAATGTCAAACATCCCTAACCTTGTGCTTCTTCACCTCTACATACTTAGAATGACTTTCTAGAAAACAGCAAATGTTCTTATGTAACCATGACACCATTAACAAAGATCCTGAGGTAGTAGTTTCTAAAACTCAATCCATATTCAAATACCCCCAATGTTTCAAATTATCTTTTGTAGTTGATTTATTCCAGTCACGAAGGCATCCAGTAATGTCTAAACATTTAACAGTTATACCTTGTAAGTCTTTTACTATAGAATAATCTTGAGAGGTTGCTTTGGACAGTAACAGTATTTCAAGACCTAAACAAAAACAAAACAACTCACATGTCATACACTTCAGAGCAAAGGTGGCAACACATCCAAAATAGTAAAGCTGCAGTTAGTGTTGTCACACAGCTTATTTATTTTAGAAGTCATTGTCTCTAAATAATGTCAGCTCTTAGGCAGTTACCTGCTTATACAGTGCATAGAGTTTTAGCTTCACTTCATTTCCTGGATCCTTCTTCAAGAGTTTCACCTGATTCATTGCATTTTCAAAGTCCTTCTGACTGGCTCTCATTGTTCTGCTTGTGTGGAGCTGAACTACTGGGAAACCAACAACCTGCAGGGGACTATAAACAATTAACCAGTTTCTATTTTTTCCTAGTCCTTACATTTTTACAGCCTTATTTCTAATTGTTCTCAACCCTAACATACCGAAATGCCATGTTTATAAATATTTTCTCTATACTTGTCTCAGTAAGCTAGCTGCAAATGATTCCTAGATAAAAAATCCATGATAGAAGCTAACTGCAGTAGTATATGTGTGTGCGTGTGTGTGCGTGTGCGTGTGCGTGTGTGTGTGTGTGTGGGTTTGAACTCAGGGTCTCATGCTTGCTAGGAAGGCACTCGTACACTTGAGCCACTCCACCAGGTAACTGTAGCATTTTTTAAATGATGGAAAAGAAGGCTACAATCCAGAGAAGTATCTGACAGCAATTCAAAATGGAAATGGCCATGTAAATTCTACCATAGGCAAGTAGCAAATGAAGGGCAGGCAAGCAGAAGCAAGCAGGAGAATAAGGGAGAAAGTGGAGTTTAGTTTTGAGTCCCAAGGTCCCAACCCAGCCTCTGAACTCACTCATAAACTAAGTGTAGCTATTAGGTCAATTCCCGGTTCTCTGTTGGCAAAACACACTTCCCAACATAGACACATGAGGAAGGAGGGAAGTAGGTGAAGATTCAAGAAATGTTCAAAGGGATAGATGAGCAGTTGCTGGCATTTTGAACACATCTAAGGAGGAGGGAGGGAACCTATCTTGGATGGAAGACAGGGAGTGAAGTGACTCAGGCCAGCTAAACAGGAGCAGAGCAGAAACAGCAAGCGATGCTAGATGATAAGCAAGTTTTTAAGCACACTGTAAGCAGGAGTCCGGTGGCACACTTCAGTGAACAGTACTGAGGCTACAGGGCAAAAAACGGATGTTCTCAATGATGACCCTAAATGATAAAATTAAAGGCATTAAAGGGGATGAAATAATAGGGTTATAAATAAGCCCAGACCTAGCAAATATATCATCTTCCTTGCAATTACGTAAATTGCAAATGGTACAATGGACTCCAGGTTTAAATCTTGGAATATTGGTGTGTGATTCAATAAAAACCCATTTACAATAAATTCCCTTTTTTTCAAAAAGGGAAAATCTGCATTTTATATGAATTTGGCCTAGGAGAAATTCCATATAGAAAAGAAAGTTTAAAATGCCCACAGAATAAGACCCATTTGCCATTCTGTATCCAAGGGCTCTGCCCCAGGTCACAGGACTCCTAAAAAAAAAAAAAATGCCCACAGAGGGCCTAAATATGCAATTCCCATTTAAAAAAAAAGTGATAAGATAATAAAATTCGTCGTAATTTCACCGCTTTAAGGCAACCACGTTCCAGGTTTTGTTCCCTATGCATAAATGTTAGTTTTTACTCAGCATTACAGCATGCGTACTCTCCAAAAAGCAGTTTTAAGCCCACACTGGTGATAACGCACTGAGTTTCTAAAGCGCTCGGGAACCGAGCAGAGCGCGCTTGATGTTCTCTGCACTCTTTAGCGAAGACACTGCACCCTAGAAAGTGCCCGGGTGGGACCTGGGAGCCGACCAGTCTCCGCCCAGGGCGCGCGCACTCCTCTCAGGGCCCGGCGCGTCCATCACGACCCCGCGCGGCCCAGCGGAGGAGGAGGGCGCGCACGAGAAAGGTCACTCTAGTACTTTCGCTGGAGACCCCGCAGCAGTTACTGCTACGCAGATCAGATGCCAGGGACAGCGGCTCGCACGGGAGACCACTCCCGCAAAGACAGCGGCTTTTGGCAGGCGACCATGGGCAGGAGGCCGAGGCTCCAGGCTTACCTTAAACACCAACGACGCACCAGTCTCGCGGCCACAAACGCCATCGCAAGACTGGTCGCAAGCGGAACCCGGGCTCCAGAAGAGAGCCGGGGTTTGGCGTAGGCGGCACTCGAGGGCAGGGCCGGGGGCCGGCGTGAGCGGGACCCAGGGGGGGGCCAGGATGAGCTGGGCTAGGACCCGGGCGCACGGGAGCAGAGCGAGGCCGGGAACCGCCGGGAGCGAGCGCGCGGGTTGCGTAAGGGGCGGGGCGGGCCCGGCGGAGCGGAGAGCTGGAGGTGCTGGCTGCGGAGCCCCCGCACGCGCGCGAAGAGCGATGGCGCGTGTGTAAGGAGACATCGGGCTCTGCCAGCGTGCGTCTGCTGAGCTCCGCGGGGTTCAGCCGGAGAGTGCCGCGGAGCTTGGAGGAAGGCTCGTTTCACCCTGCGGTCCAGCCGTGAGCGCCCGCGGAGACACGAAGTGGGGTCACCACTGAGGATGTGTGCTTCAACAGACAACATATTCGCCCCCAAACCCAAGAGGTTTACAGACTTGGCGGATGCCTGGGATCAGGAGTGCTTTCTGGAATGTTTAGACCAACATTTTCTTGTCACCAACCATCGGTTATGTATTTTTGAGCTCTGCCGGAGCATTTATAAAGTATTTTCTCTGGGGGAAAATTACTTTAAAACCACTACTCGGAGCCGAGCGTGGTGGTAAACCCAGGAGGCTGCGGCAGGAGATCCCGAGTTCGAGGCCAGCCTTGGCTACATAGGGAGACCTTATCTCAAACAACAGCAAAATCATTGCTAAACCCTAATCCGTTTGCTTTTGGTATAGTAGCCATATATGCCTGGGTTCTTTTTTTTTTTTTTTTTAAGGTTTATGCAGCTGACGCTTGTGGACTAATTCAGGCTAATTGTAATTCTTTCAAAAACCCTATAGGAGCCGTGCACTGGTGACTCAGTGCCTGTAATCCTAACTATTCCGGTGTCTCACAAATAGTTCGCGAGACCGCATCTCGGAAAAAAACCCTCACACACACACAAAAAAGGGCTGGTGGTGTGGCTCAAGGCGAAGGTCCTGATTTCAAGTCCCAGTACTGCAAGAAAAAATAAAAACAAAACCCTATAGGGAAAATGGTACTATTTTGTTGTACAGGTGTGGAAATTGAGATCTGGGAAGATTAACCAAGTGACTTGCCAAACAACCTGAGACTTGTGCAAGTGAGCTGAAAAAGATGTTGGCACCCATGTTTGGTGGAAGCAGGTGACATTTATTGTGAACTAATGTGTCTGTTTCTCCATTTAGTCTTACCAGTTTCTGCTTAATGCATTTGGATTGCTGTTATTAGGTTGATAAAAATTGGTGATTGTACAACTTCTTGATGAATTGACCTTGTCCTTATGTACTGTTTCTGTTCCCTAGATCTAAAGTCTAATTTATTTCATCTTAATATAGTTAATACAGTTTTTCTTTTGATCAGTGATCGTGTGGTTTATCTGTTATATCATTTTGATGTATATAATGATATTTAAAACAAGTTTCTTGTAGACAGCATAGTTTTCTTTTAAAAAAAAATCCAGTGAAACAATCTTTGTTTTTTTAAGTGATATGTTTAGAACCATTTACATGTAATGTGATTTCCGATATGGTTGGATTTAGGGCTACCATTTTGTTAGTTTTCTGTTTGTCTCATCTGTTTTTCGTTTTTCTGTTCTCCCTGCTTGCTTCTTTTGAGTGCTTTTTATTATACCACTTTATCTTGTTAGCTTTTTTACTGTAACTTTTTGTACTTTTTTCCACGGATTGTTCTAAGGATTATTTTACATATAGATATACACATATTTTCATAGTCTACTTGGTCAATATTTAGTAACTTCAAGTAAAATGCAGATTACTTGCAATCATTAGATCTCTTTTACCACCTTTTTTATGTTATAGTTCTCATATGTGTTACATTTGCTGACATTAACACCTTCCCTAACAGTGTCACAATTTTTGCTTTCAACTTTTATATACAGTTTCAGTATACTTTTTTCAGTATTACTTTTTTTTTTTGAAAACTACAAGACATGTATTTTATTATCTATATTAGGTCAAGAGATTTTACCAGGTCTATAGTGAGGAAAAATTAGAAGTCTAATTAGAATCTCACTTTATATCATTTACACTTTTGTTGTATACAATTAAGCTTTAACTATATGATGTTGCATATATAACTCTCATTTAAAAATGTCACTACCATCACAGTAAATCCATTTGATCTCTTCATGAAATTAGTCTCAAATTGAAAAAAAAATCATTCAAACTCTACATAAGATTTACTTTCAAATTTCAGTTTTAATAACTTTAAAAAAGGAAAAATATCATTTAAATGGATATTTGTCATTTCTACTTTTTTCCTTCATTCCTGAAGTTCCAAGTTTCCTTCTAGGAACATGTTGCTTCAGCCTTCACTTCCTTTAGCAACTTCTCTTAGAGTAGGTGCATTGGCAGTGATTTCTCTTTGCTTTCCTTGCTTTGAGAGTACCATTTTTGAGCCTTCATTCCTAAAAGGATATTTTCACTGTATATAGAATTTGGAGTTGACATTTTTTTCTTTCAGCACTTTAAAGATTTTGCTCCACTGTCTATGATTTCCGGCAAGGAATCTGTAGCATACTCTATACCTGTAACATTTGAACTGTTATTCCCTATACAAAATATATAAATTACATCATTTTGCTGTCACCTATTTTGAGATGTTTTATGTATTTTTGAGGCAGAGTTTCACTATGTAGCCCCAATTAGTCTTGAACTCTGGATCCTCCTGCCTTAGTATACATGGGTTTTGGGATTTCAGGTGTGCATGATCATGCCTAGCTAGGTGGTGGTACTAGGGTTCAAACTCAGGGCTTCATGCTTGGCTAAGCAGATATCTTACCATTACCACTGGAGCCACATCTTTCTTTATCTTCAGTTTTCAGCTGTCTAGTTTTAAATTATTACTATTTTTTGACAGTACTGGGAGTTGAACTCAGGGTCTCTGCACTTGAGAGGCAGGTGCTCTACCACTTGAGCCACTCTGCCAGCCCAAGCAGTTTAGTTTTGATGTACATAAGCCTAGCATTTATGAGGCCCTGGATTCCATTCCCAGCACTGCAAAAAACCAAAAAGACAACATAAAAAGTTTGTCTTTGCTAACAATTTGTCTTTCTTTTCAATTCAAAAGTGCCAACTTGTATCTTAGGCTGAAAGATTATAATGGCTGTTTTAAATTTTTGATTCCTATTGGTTTGATTTCGGATTGCCTACTAGGTCTGGTCTCTTGTATTATATTTAACTCCTTGGATTTTCTCTGCCTCTGAAACACTTGCTTTGGGACTTCACCTTACCTGTTGGGCTTCCCATCTGCATCACCCAGTGTGCACTGGGCAATTCTGCATTTGACAATGTTAGGCAGAATATATATATATATTGGGTCCCCAGCTGGGCTATTGGATCTTTGCTTATTTTCCTCCACAATAGTGTCTTTGCTTTTTCTGGATAATTTGAATTATATTAAAGTAAGTGAACTCATTGATAGAAAATTCATAGACCCAATGTAATACATTATTCTTTTATTTACTTCTTTATTACTAGGTGACTGTTCTTTCATTCTAAGATCTGTAGAGTTTCATGGAGGAGAAATTTAATGCATATTTCATACCTCCCAACATTTTAAAGCCTATTATCATTACAGACAGCCTTTATAGATCTAATTATATGCCTTATAGAGACTTCATAGGTACTCAGGCCAGATGGAATTAATGTATTAGATTATTGCTATCAATCACAGACAAATCCTCCATTAACATGACTGATATAAAATGAGTGATCTGCCATTCATCCGCTGTGGTCACTTGCTTCATGAAGGTGTTAGCAGCCATTAGCAAACTGACAACATTCATTCATTCTTCACTAATTTCTCCACCAAGTATCTATTGATCATCTAGTATATGCCGGGCTGTAACAGAGGACACTGTTGGAATGAAGTTGAGGCTTTCTGGTAGGGCCCTGGGAACCTGTGGAGTGATGAGTTTGCTGTGGAATGGCAGATCTTTACTACTTCTGCTTCTGTAGAGAAGGGATAATAAGTTGCCAGCAGAACTGGCTCCAGGAAGCCATACACTGAAGAGGGCAGGTCTGGTCCATATCTTTGCTATAACAACAGCAGTAAGCATTCAATGGCCCTGAAGTTCAACAGCTTAAGGTGAGCATCATCAATAAGAGATTATGTGCCTGATGTATTACCCAAAATCACTTCAGGGATAGGTAAAACAACTTTTGTTATTTTACAGATGAAGAAATTGGCTGGGTACCCGTGGCACTCATGGCTGTAATCCTAAGCTGCTCAGGAGGCAGAGATCAGGAGGATCACGGTTTGAAGCCAGCCTGGGCAAATAGCTCACAAGGCCCTGTCTCAAAAAAAAAAAAGAAACCCACTACAAGAAAAGTGCTGGTGGAGTGGCTTGAGGTATAGGCCCTGAGTTCAAATCCCAGTCCGCCCCAAAAAGAAAAAGACAAAGATATTGAAGCACAAAGAAACTGAATAGCTTGCTCAAAGACTCAAGAGTTAGTAAGTGGCTCCCTGATCTGAGTGCTCAAACTCATAACCACAGTGTTCTCTCTGCTGATTATTTTCATGGGTGAATAGAGCCAAGAACAAGAATTATGCAAAGACCTGAGGAGTTTCTGGGCAGTAGTACTTTTTTTTTCTAAGTTAGAAAATACAAATAGGTAAAATAAAATCACATTATCTTAATTCAAGTGAAACTAATGTGTTAAATTGAATTTAAGTAAATGAATTTGATATTAATGGAAGAGGAAAACAGATTGGAGAGCTGTTATGGGAAAAAAACTCAGGAAAATATGTTTAAGAGTCAAGACTATCTGATATTCCTATGTGGAGAGTTTTCTTTTTTCTTTTTTTTTCAGGTGGGACTGAAGTTTGAACTCAGGGCTTTGCTTGAAAAGAAGGTGCTTTACCACTTGAGACATTCCTCCAGTCCATTTTGCTCTGGCTGTTTTGGAAAGGGGTCTTGTGAACTATTTGTTTGAGCTGGCCTCAAACTGCCATTCCAGTCTTAGCCTCCCAAGTAGCTATGATTATAGGCACAAGCCACTTGCCCCTGGCAGAGATTTTTATTTTCTTAAGGAAAACAGGTAGAATTAATAGATTGTAACTATTGTGGACTGTTT